CCCGACGGGCGGCGGCGACGACAACGGCCGAGTGGAATGCCAAGGAGCAGTCAAGTGGTGGGACCGGCACGGCCGGCACGCCGGCAGAAATCACAGGAGCGGAAAAGCATATTCCGAGCACGACGTCTGTTCAGCGGCAGCCCGCCCTGCCTCCCCGCCCCGCCCCACTCCCACCGCGCCGCCGCAGGCTTCTTGGGCATCAGAACAGCGCAATGCCGCGCAGAGGAGAAGGCCCCCCCGACGCCCGTTGAGGCAACGCTAAGTAAACGCCGCGTCCCTTTCCTCAAAACTTTTCCGGCACGCGGTCGCGGTAACGGAGCAATTAGGTCCGCGCGAGTCTTGGGGCTCCACAGCGGCCGCGGCCCCGGGGAGTCCTGGGCGAAAAATAGTATTGGTGCCAAATGGCTGATCCACCTAGAGTCGGATTTTGACGAAATCTTACTTGGTGGTTTGCAGCCATCGGATACTTTGACGCGAAGACCGAGATGAGATGGCTCATCTCACCGCGTGCTTCAAGGAAAGGCGGGCTCCGCGGAACTCCTGGCGCTCCTGGCGCAGCAGGATCTGTATCCTCTACGTATGAGAGGTGCCTGCCGGCCTGTATCAGTGTAGTACCGCACTGTGAAGTGCACTAGATACACACACACAGTGCACTTCCCTCGATGCGCCCCAAAACGACAGGAGCGCGCGGCCGCACAACGCTTCCTGGGCAGTGCAACGAGGATGTGCCGCCGGCATCATTATAGCACACACACACACACACACAATACGTATGGCGAGCGGGGCAGAAGCGGGGCACCCCTCCCCTCTTCCCTCCGGCCCGGACCCGTATTACAGGTTGAGTAACCGAGCGATAAGAAGGAAGAGGCCCAGGGGGGCTGTGTGATTACGCGCGCCCTGTACTCGTGTAGAGGTCCAGTTGGTGGCGGCCTCGCGGCGGCGTCACGCCCGGCTAACTATCTTTCCAGTTATTTGCGCTTTGCTTTGGAGACGCGCCCTAATCATCGATTTAAGCAAGATCGCTGTCATTGCAAAACTCAGTATATGTACGGAATACCTCTGTGAAAATTAAGAGTCAATTGGGTCGCAGCAGGCAGAGTTAGCCGCCGTTAGCGTCCTCTCTGGCTAGCTCTAGCTTGCTCTAGCCGCCGCCGTGAGCACACCTGCGCTGGCCGTCTATTTATTCGCAGAAGCCCCCAGTTTTACATGCATAACTTACGGCGGAATTAATAACGCGGTGGCGGTGCAAGGCAGCGGGCAGCGGCAGAGCAGCAGAGCAGAGCGGGGAGTCTGACTGAAGAGACTCCAGCGAGGAGGAGACGCGTCGTCTTTGGTCGTCGCCGCCGCGTTGTGACCGTGGCGACTATAACTCCCCTGCTGGCCTGGCTGGCCGCTGCTGGCCGCTGTGCTCTAATGCCTAATACAACTACCACGCCTGGCTGAGCGACGAGAAGGTATGGGGCGGGGCGTGGAGGCGCGGATCTGATCCCTTTTAGAGAACGCATTAGTGGTGAGGCGAAAGGGAAAATGACGGCTTCCACGGTCTGGGCCGGCCGGCCGGACCAGCCAGGCAGCGCGGGGATTAGAACA